CTGGGGTGAGGGAGAACCTCTGTCCACCAATATTGTTCCCCACTCCTTTATTTTATTTATTTATTTTTTTAGGCAACTGGGGTTAAGTGACTTGCCCAGGGTTCCACAGAGAGTGTCAAGTGTTTGGTCTGAGGCCGAATTTGAACTCAGGTCCTCCTGACTTCAGGGCCGGTGCTCTATCCACTGTACCTCCTAGCTGCCCCTCCCCACTCCTTTAAATGACTTCTTTGCTGGGTGGGAAGGCTTGAGCTCTATGATAGCTTCATTTTAAAATTAAGAAGTTTCTTTTGTTTCTTATAAATGAAGCCACTTATTCAAAACACTCAATAGAAAACAGCACATTCCGTGTTTTACTTGGAAGCCTGGAAATCCAGTTTGGTGGCCCTCAACCAACACTTAATTCTGACTTACACCTTCTGTTTGTGTGAGGCATTCCATTACATGATGCTTTTTCAAAGTATTTCGAAGAGCTTAAATGTAAGAGTGAATGAATTAAAATAATGGTGAAGTTTGGCTCCAGAAAAAAAGTTGTGAAAATGCACCTTCTTCCCTTCTCTACAGAGATGGGTATTGGTTTTGCTGCATTGCTTTCCGCTCCATCCATAATATCTTATTTCAGAATCTTTGTTACAAGGGGTGATATGCTTGGTGATGAAATAGCAATAAAAATAAGATTAAAAAAGTGGAAAGCTTTGGGAAAGAGTTGAGGGGAGAGGAGGTACACACGTGTACACACACACACACACACACACATCCATGTATGAAAAACTTCGGTTTTTATTTGTTCAAATGTCCCCATGCAGTTAGGTGTCAGAATGGATAGAACACTGAGTTTAATTCAAGCCTTAGACACTTACTAACAGTGTGACCCTGGGCAAATCACTTAACCTCTATCTCCCTGTTTCCTTAACCGTAAAATGGAAATAATAACAGTACCTATCTCCCAGGGCTGTTATGAGGATTAAAGGGGATGATATTTGTAAAAGTGCTTAGCACAGTGCCTGGCACGTAGTAGGTGTTTAATCATTACTTGTTTCTTTCCTTCCTTTCTTTCCATGTACATTTAAATTTAAAATTTTTACCATGTAATACAAGCAACTTGGAAAACAAACCCCAGGGTTCATCTCTGAATCTGAAGTCTACGTTCTTGGGTTCTGATTTACTACCACTCAATGGCTTGGGAAAAAAAGTCTTACCTGGGTCTCAGGTTCCCTTATTTGAAAAAAAAAATGGGAACAAAGCCTATCCAGTTCCTTCCCTCTTTGGGTTTTAGTCAGTATGAGTGAATCAAGTGAATCAAGTTCTTTGAGTAAAAGGGGCAACAGAGTCATGAGGAGATGTTCATTAAGGAAGGATTTTTTTCAGCTTTTAAGGCCCAAGCTACCTTCCTATAACCAACCTAATACTTTGGGCTCAAAGTGCCCCCCTATTCAAGCTTAATTGGAAAAATAATCCTTCTGTTCCCAAGACCTACCTTTAGCTAAGCTCTGTGATTCCACAGCAGTGAAAGGAAGAAGTACAGTTTATATCACTTGCCAGTAAGCATAGTCACCTGGAGAAAAAGACACTCTCCTAACTTCCCGAGAGATTACTTCTCCACAGCTGGGAGGTCCCATCCTCTTTCTGGCCTTACCTGTGTAGAAACTGGAATTGTTCTCTTCCTGCTCAAAGATACTCTTCGTTTGGGAGTCAAATCTGAGCCATAGGCCAATGGCAAGGACCGCAATTCCTGCAAGCTATGAGAAAGAAGACACACCTACATTAATAGCTGTTATTGAGAATAATCCTCCTGCACCCCAAACTGTTATATTTTCAAAGTGCTTTGTGCTTTGTCAGTGTTCCTTGCCATGTGCCAGGGAAGATTATCAGCCATCAAATTTTATACACAAGATGTCATCTTCCATGCTTAACCATAATCACCAAACCCATGAGCACTAAA